CAGGGGGTGATTTTACATACGAATTTCATAACGGCGTCTCTGGTAAATTTTGGCCGTCGACCAGTGTAATTTTCAACACTTTGCTTTTATGTGGGAAGCACAATAACCGTACCGAGTTTGGTACAAATTGGTAGAACGGTTACCGAGATACATATATGTGATCATAAGTGGGCGGTGCCACGCCCTTTTTCCAAAATTTTATCATAAGCGTATTTCTTGGTAAAGAATCAGTGTTGCCAAACATGGGCTTTTCCTACCAAAACTGGTAGGTTTTTTTCATTTGGTAGGTTGGTAGGCTTCGGGACAATGAGTAATAGTTATTTGCGAAAAATAGAAAATCTGTACGTATCTTCAAACATTTTATCAACATTTTTTACACAAATATTTCACCGGTGCGTTCGTGTAATGGCGGCCACAAACATGTGAATATATCTGATTCCTAAGTACAAACGTATACCTTATTATTGCCAATATGCAATACGGACATCCATATATCGTTACCTAAGGGTGAAAAGGTGCCATGCCCATTTTTTGAAATTGTTCAGGAGACACGAAAAATCGATGTAGTTTCGTATTATCTGTCATTCTGCATCAAAAACTAAAGTTTGAAAAAAAAATGGTAGCGATATAAATTATGGCGTACTTGGACCAAGATTCCAGAAAAGTCTGCCAATGTACTCGTACTCAACCATATTTCAGGCGGTGGTCTTCCCAATCGAAGTCTGTGTTCGCGAATGTCATCGTAGAAGGCAAATGAGGCCAGAATAAATATTATGTCGGACATTCAGGCAGCGTTAAAGGCCTTAGAGTCTTTTAAAACGGCATCAAGGCTTGTAAACTCTTGAACCACCTGCAAGCCCACAATAGCGTCACGCTGTGGAGGGTCCATGGATATGAAGGGTTTGAAGGCAACGAAAGGGAAAATGGAAAATGGAAATGGATTTGCATGGTCCCTAGCCTTTCTGCGGTACATCTAACGGATACACTGCAGACCTACTTAAGAGCTAGCTGGGAATAATCTCAAATTGCTGCCCACTGGCGGAAGTCAAAGGAAATAAGACAATCAAAGATATGCATATCTCTTTCCAGCAGGAACTCAGAAAGACACCTTGAACTTAGAACTCTTACTGGCAACCTGACAGCACACTGCAAGTTAACGTACGGTTTTTATTAAATGGGTCTTTCTGTAGAGACGGACTGTAGGGTTTGTCGGCTGGTGAAAGAAACTCCCCGAGTATATTCTATGTGCCTGTGCACGAAGCATGAATCGTAGATTGATACACCGTGGAGAACGATTGCCTTCTCCATCTAAAATTTGGAACATGGCCTCATCCAAAGTGCTGAGCTTTTTAAATAGCCTAAGGTTTGAGTGATTACAATTTGGATTTGGTACAATATATCTTCTTAGGTCGCAGCGCGGGTATCTTCGACGTATTAATAATAATATCGTCACTAGACACGAATAAAGAGCTCGGAAAAACTCTTTGTGGAGTTTTTTTACGCCTCTTTTTTCGCTATCAACTTTTGAGCTCGCGTCTTTATTCGTATCTAGTGACGATATGTGTGTATGTGTGAAGATATGGAAAAGTCTGTACAGTAAAATGAATCGTTATACGCAGTTAATTTGTTTTTAATATTCTAGTTGTGTTTTAGTCTTACTAAATGTTATGTTAACTATGTTTTAAAAAATTTGACATTGAAAACAAATATTAAAACTCAAAAAAATTTAGGTTTTGGTTGGTTATGGCAGGAAATTTTGGTAGGAAAAAAAAAATTTGTCTGTGGCAACGCTGTAAAGAATTGTTCCAAGCATAAATTTTGAATAAATTAGCTTTAATATTTACTGATTTATCGAAGATTTCGTATTTCTCTAAATTACCGCTACATGGGATGTGGGCGTGTTTATTGTCCGCTTTTAAAAATTTTCGGCCATTTGGTATGCTGTACCAAGGCCAACAACTGTGCCGAGTTTGGAAGCAATTGGTGCAGCGGTTATCAAGATATACACATGTAACCATTAGTGGGCGTGGCTACGCCCATTTTCCAAAAATTGATAATTTTCTTATTTTTCATCTAAAAAATATTGTAAATATCAATTTTGAGTGAATAAGCTTAAGTAGTTACATACCGCAGTTTTCGTACTTCTGAAAATTACCGTTATATGGGAGGTAGGCGTGGTTATTGTCCGATTTTGCCCATTTTCAATACCGTCCGTCCTACACCCGAAAGAAGTGCACTTTTACTCGCTTAATCGATTTCTCTTTTCATTCTGATCATTTATGTATTCATTTGTCTATATCTATCTCGATTCGTTTTGCCTGTTACAAACAACCGTTATGTGAACAAAGTTATAATAAAGATTAGTTTAATCATTATTTGAAAATACTTATCTTTAATTAAGTAGAATACAAAGGACTCAGTGGCTGGTGCCAGGAGAAACAGCTAACAGTTGCATTAATATACAAAGGAGATTGTTCTGATCCATTAACTTCAATGATAAAATGTAAGCTCCCTCCTTTTAAGGGCCCCATTTCACTAGATATTGTGCCGCTTTAATTCTTGAAACGCTTTCCCAAAATTCCACCACATCCTCTTTAGTTCTTTTTAAAAAGCCTTTCGCTCATGCATTCCACCAGTTTTGCGTATTGCTAGCGATTTGTTGTGAACTTCGATCTGATAATTTTGTAAACATTTAATAATAATTTTTGTTTTCTATTCACACTTCAACTTACATACATATTTTTTCGTTTACGCTCTTTATTTTATTAATATTTTAAAACAATTTGTTTCGCTCCGACACGAGTTGCTATTCGTACAAAATTTCCGTCAAATACATAAAAATGACAGCTACGTCGGATTCAGGCATACCAACATTACGGATTTCGAAGATTGCCTACGGATTTCGAAATTACGATACGACAACGCGGATTTCAGCATACCAATTTAATGATTCGTAGCAAAGTCGAATCTACGACGGATTACAGCATATGGGGTGATAGTATTTTAGCAAATTAGTGCATGTAAGCGGAAAATGTACATAAGAGAATGGGCAGCTAAACGGAATGTACTGTATAAAATTGCGAGCTTCATTTTATTTGACTGTGAGGTGAAATTTGTTTAAAGAAAACAAACTCCCGATTACGTCTGCATGAACCCTGCATTTCTTTACAACTTATGTTTTTAACTGCAAGGTAGCTATAATGTATCTATGTATACGTAAGTATGTATGTATATAAATTGAAGTGGACGGTTCCACAATTTAAATCACTTTCAATGACCTTAATAAATGTGCAGTATTTTAGCAATGCGTGCGTGAATCAGATAGCGGCCAAGGACATTCCTACATACCTTAGTCCTTACTAGAGTTGAGGTTGGAAGCAATGTATTTATTCGAGCTTCCATCATGTAACGTCTAGTGAACATGAAGAGAATTACAATTGGCGCTCCAATCGACACCGCTTAGCAGCCTTTATATGGTCTTCACACTGTCGCATTTTGCTTGTAGTTTAATTAGAAAACTAATTAAACACAACAGACATAAGCACACTGCATCGAGACCCTAGTTGGAAATTTGAAGAGCGCTTCTAAATAAACACATTCTTGCAAGGATTTTACAAGGTACCTTCTATTTAGAAGTAGTATTACAGTATCTTCGAATTGGTATGAAATTCGAAAGCATATGAGACGGTGTGTTTCCAAAGCAATATAGCCAAATATATACAAAATCGAAGTAGGCTAGTCAGTGAGGGACTGGCGTCAAATTTAATTTTTAAGACGTCATTTGTATTTCATGTAAATTTTCCCCTTCCAAATAGAAAGAAGCCTGGTACTTTCTTAACATTTAATTTTGGCAACTGGGCCACTCTAGAAAGCTTACACAAATACCTACAATAACACACGAACATTGATATATGTATATATACCCAGTTGGAAAAGTAGTAAAGCATTACATGCGTGATATATAATATAATGTATTTCTTATGCGTTCTCGATAATATTACTGCTTACTATGTAATCAGCGTTCTAATGTATTCAAAAAGTTCCTAAAATTTCATATTAAAACACATTCGCCCTGGGGGAAAAAATGCATTTTCGAATGTGAAAAGTGTTGTTTTACTGATTATTTTTTTCGATTACTATACATTACATTTTCCCACTGGGTATGTACTCATGTACATTTTTACACTTTTTAGTGGGTCTCAATAAAAGTAAAAGTATTTCGTGAGTGCAATGCATTATTAGTGGCAAGTATGGGGCCTTAAAAGTCTAATTAAGGCCTGGAATAAAAAATATAATAAATAAAAATTACTCGCACTGATGTTAATGAATATACACGCACATATTTATGTGTGTACATATGTATGTACAAAAGTACAGGTGCAGTAAAGACAATACCTTAATCAAAGGCACTGGATACGGTTGGTTGGCAGAGTAAGTATGCAAAGTAAATATAAAAACATTTAGCAATATTAATAGATGTAGCAATTAGAAAGCAAGACGTGCCTCGAAAGGCCCTAAAGTTCATGCAATTTTTCACGAAGGAACTTGATGTAGTTTTGCCCCTCGATGTCAAATATGGCTAACCTATTTTTAAACCTCCCCAACTTTTAAAGTTCTTGAGGTTTTTTACACGTAAAATTTAAATTTTCTAGGAATTCAGAAGTTAAATTTTAGTTTACTTCTATTTGACACGTAGATCATGGATCCACAGTCTCGCTCCTAAATTTCATACCGGAACATTCCGCTATCTTGGATTTTAGTTTGTTCGGGTTTTTGCGATTTGCAAGCTTATTTTGCATTTTTCGTATGGAACGGTTTGATACAAATTTGTAGAGAATTTAATTTCCCATATTATACACACTTTTTAAAATAAATAATTTTTTATTGTATATAATTAGCAAAAAGTGCGAAAAATTATTGCATTGTCGCGGTTTTTGCCATCTTTCAACAAGTTCTGATAAAAATTCGTAGCATATTCAAACGCCGAAGTTGTAGAGAACTTTTCGATTTGTGAAAATTTCCATGAATTTCCTGAACTTTAGGGCCTTTGAAGCACGTTGTTCCGTTATCCGATTTTACAAATTTTTCGTAGGTCACGTTCTAATGACCAACTGAACCTTTCTGGGGGAGTCTTGTTTTGTAGAACAAAGCTACAAATTAAGGAACAAGCTACTGCACATGCATGATGATATTCATTGAATCATTTTGCAAAACTATAACTAAATAGGGGAGCGAAGGGTGTTATAGACCACATAAGGAAAATTGTCTGTAGAAAAAACGGAAATATGAATTTTTGCTCAGTTTTGAATGGATAAGACAGCCGAACAAAAATATAAATAAAATTTGGTACGGAAAATTGTCGCTTAAACAAATGGTTGTCGTATGTTACATTTGACGACTTTCGGGAAATCGCGATTGATATTTAAAGTCTGTTTTCTTGAAAGCGTCACGGTAGATTTCTTTGAAAATTGTATATGTTTTTTCTAGCTTAACGAAATATTGGAATTTATTATAAAAAAAAAATTACACAAAATCTGCAACATTTATTGCTAATTTTATTTACTCACACTTTGTCGTATGGTACAGTTGACAACATGGTTGTGCTCAATTCATACAAATGCGACAAATTACCAGCAAAATATAACACAAATCATATGGAGTAAAACTTTAATTTCAGTTTTATTTGAACATCAAAATATATTAAAATAAACTTAAGGCAAGTCATTTTTAAGCAAAAAACAAAACCGACTTCAATTCTCATATACAAATTTAAGAGTACCGTTAATTTCATTTAACATTCCTTTAAAAATATATTATAGTAATCGGTTAACGTGGTCCAAAGTTATGCGGTAACAAACATAAAAAAGAATTTAAAAAATATTCCGACAAACTGATAACCTCCTCCTTTTTTTGCAATCAGTTAAAAATAGTTCTTACAAATCTACTAAATATGTATAAAAATTCAATTCAACTTCAGAAAAAAAAAACAAAAAACTAAGTATGTATTATAAAAACAATAGTATCTTAATATAGAAAGGCCCTATCTAAAATGTTTGTTTACAGTGAAACCCGCTTAAGTACCTAACCCGCTTAAGTAACCAACATTCTTGGGCACCGTAAATTTTTTAATGTAATCTGAAGAAAATCCCTCTCTTAAGTACCTCCCCGCTTATTTACCCAACACTCCTAAGTAGCTAAATTTTTCGTGCCCCATTTACCATTTTACTTATAATTTTCCCCTCTTAAATGCTCTTTTAAAATTTTTTAAATATTTACATATTTTGCAATTCAGTGGCAGCACTACACTATCGATATTAATTGCCACCGTCAGAGCAACAACATGCAAGTTTCAAGTGGCAAGAAACTACCGTTGATTTTTTAAAATTTTTTGTTATGTGAAGAAAACCGCAGCACCTTCGGCAAAAAAATTCTAAAAAATCAACTTGCAACTTGTGACACTAAAATCGAATGGGGTCACTTCTGAGAAAAAAGTTTGAAATTTTGACGAAAATTTGATGAATTTTCAGTCTTCTACACAATTTTAAGCTTAGGTTTATATGGTATTTGTTAGGGAATGAACTGTAATTTAATTGAAAAATCTTAAAAATTAATAAACATAAGCGGCAAACGGTATCATTTTGAATTCGGTCCAACCTGTATGTATGTATAAATATGTATAATCAAGGACACTGCTTTATCTATTTTTTTAACAAAGTTTTTCTTTATGTGTTTATGTGTTTAAATAATGCTATGAACTTGGTGTTAAAATGCGTATACTTCATGGAATGTTCATGTTTTATTCAGGGATTTATTTATGTAAGCTAAAAGAAGTTGTAACTTGTGCATCAATAATTATGTTCGCTTAAGTAACCGCATCGAGGTACTTAAGCGGATTCTTTTAAGTCCCCACCCCGCCTAAGTACCTCAAAGAGCTGACATTTTTCGTGAGGTACTTAAGCGGGTTTAACTGTATTTGCAAACTGATTGAACACTTAACACAACTTTCCATTCTTTGATTAGGAATTTCTTTAAAATGCTGTTTTCAATTGAGGACTATAATAATTAATTAAATGCTGGAATAGTTGTTTTTGAATTGCATTAAGTTTTCAGTGAGTAATCTACCGACATTTGTATAAAGCAGGATTTTCAAAGAAAATGAGTGACACGCCCCTGTTTCACTATATTAAGGTAACGATATGTGCATAAGTATGTACATTAGGATGGTCTAAAAATGCATGTGAAAAAGTAAAGTCGCAATGATAATGCGCTCACCCCCTAGGATTGTTCTATACCGAAAAAATCAAAAAATATTTAGAGGCCCAAAGTTTTCCATGTATTTTATATGGGGGAAAAACTACTTTTCGTAGAAATGGTATAGAATAGTTGAAAATCAATATTTTTCTACAAGAAAACTCTGTTTATCTGCAGAAGATTCTCAATAATAATACCTAATTGTTTATTTAAACATTTTCTCATCGCAACTATAATTTATAGGTCCTCCAAAAACCCACAAAAACCCCAAAAAAATGCAATGGGGCGAAAAATAAAAAATCGTTAGTATTAAAAAATCGCTAAATAAACAACTGGGTATTATATTGAAGATAACCAGAGTATTGGGATCGAAAAATATTGTTTTTAAAGAAGAATTCTATACCATTTCTATGAAAAATTTTATTTTTCCCATACAAAAATACATGGACAACTTTGAGCGCTTTGAGCGACGTCTAAATATTTTTTGATTTAAAAATAAAAAAAATAGGGGTATACTTTTTTCGATATAGAACAATCCTAGGAGTGAGAGCATTACAATTCCGACTTTACTGTTTTTGGACCACCATAATGTACAAACATATGTATATACGGTTGCCAGACGTACTGATTTTATCAGTACAGTACTGATTTTTTAACTCTTGTACTGATTTTATTCCTTTCTTCAGTACGCTAATGTTCTTATTTTTCAAAATTTGTACTGATTTGTACAGAATTTTCAATTCAAACAAAATACTTTAGGATTTTCTTACGGGTTTTACATAACTTTGGAACTTCCCTAAACTGTACTGTAAGAAGTAAGAAGAAAATAATTTAATTATAGTTGACATGCTTCAGATAATATTTGATGTGCCCAAAAAATTAATACAACGTACCAGTTGCGATAATATGACGGAGCTTAAGTTAAAGAAGAAGGCTGACGTGTTGCTAGTTATCTCGAAAGTTACTTTCAGTTTAATAAAAACAAATTTGAATATTGGAATGGCTTTCGCCTATAACTTACAATTCTTTTTCACAATTTACTGACATTGTAAAAGAGTTTTGCATACAAGACATAGAATTAGATACTCTTTTTAGCGAAATCTTAGTCTTTCAAAGTTTGTGCATAGTGGAAAAAAATAATTTAAGCCATGAGGAATTATAGATGAAGTCCTTAAATAGTGGTACTTTTCCACATTTGAAAAAATATGTAATTTTGTTCAAACGAAGCAACTGAGAGAATCTTAAGTATAAAGTTTGCTTCCGGGTGCAAAGAGAGGCTTCTAATTAAAATTTTTTAAAGTGAACTTCATATTAAAAGTAATTTTAAAATAAAATTTATAGAATTATTTGACTATTTAGACCCTGAAGATGTACACTCATGTTTAAATGAATAACACCTTTATTTTTATGAACTACATTTTATGATATACTAAAATATTGTTAAAAACAAGTACTCTGGTGGTTTAAAGTATTAAATATTTGTATAAGTAACAATAATTTTGCTTTGAATAAAAATATACTAAAAAGTACTGATTTTTTGTCATGAAAAAGTCTAACGTACTGATTTCGCGCATAAAAAATCTGGCAACCCTATATGTATATGAGACATTTTAATTACATTCTTGATATGGTTCTGTAGAAGCATTTGTCCTTTTCTTTCTCCAACAAGTAAATTTTAAGCAAAAAACATAACCGACTTCAATTCTCATATAAAAATTTAGGACTACCGTTAACTTCTTTATGATCCCATGACCAAATCTAAACCGGTATGTTACCACCCGCAAGGTACCACCTTTCCGATAAAAAAATAATTATCGAAATCGACTGACGAGGTTCAAAGTTATGCGGTAACATACATATGTAAAAAAATAAAATATTCCGACGAATTGATAACCTCCTCCTTTTTTTTGAAGTCGATTAAAAATAGAATCCCTTTCATGGTTGCTACAATTGATAACTTTCTACCGAAATTGGTAACTTTTAAACGGTTTGGTAACTTGGTAACTTTTATCTCATTTTGGTAACATTTGCAACTAAACATTTATCTGCATAACTAGAAAGAAATGAATTATGTTTTGAATGTGCGTAATTCCAAAATTACTTCGATTAAATTAAAGTCATCTCATATTCGAATACTGGAAATATTTGAAATACAGTGGCAGCACCAAGGGCTGCACTTT